GGAAAAAAAAAAAAAAAAAAAAAAAAAAGAAAAAGAAGAAAAAAAAAGAAGTCACGATAAAACGTACACAATTACAGCGGACGTGGCGCGTAAACAATATGACGCCTCGCAATTCCTTTCTCTCTCTCTCCATCAAAAATAATGCGATGATAATAAGAAAAATGTGAAGGACATGTTTTCGGTTTCAAATTCTTTGATATCGAGCTTGACAATGTTTCCAACTCCAATACATCAAGAAATATTTAATTTTATTTTAATTTATTTTAAAATTATATAATTAATTATAATTAATTAAAATTATAATTTATTTTAAAATTATATACTATTACATAAGAATGTTCTTTGAATGAAAATTTCTTCTTTGAAGAAATTTGTTTAACATTTATAAATACAAATTCTAAATAATTCTAAATTTAAAAAATGATACTTCCAATTTTTGAATAACGTAATATTATCGTAGTTTCGCATTTGAAAGAACGATTTAAATAAAAAATAGTTTGACAATTATATCTCTTTTAGTCGAATATCGGAGCGATCTAATTCTTTTTATTATTATTTCTCAATAAAGTAAAAAAAGCAATCACACAATTTTTTATATAAAAAAAATTTTTTTATACAAATATTTTGTATTATTATAAATTATTATTATAAATTTTTTGTATTATTATAAAAAATCTGAATTTGATAACAAAAATATAACACGAGTTACAAAATATTTATTCTTAATAAAAAATATGATAACGATAATGATAAAAAATTCAACTATCGATTCATCACGAATATTAATTTTTAGATTCGATACATTTCAATTTCAAAGTGCTCCATACATAACGATAACACATTCGACGCGAATTTGAACCAAAGTATCGTCGATTTTTCTTACAACTTTGAATAAAAACTTTGACGACCTGTGTTTACATAACATTGGTTTTTTTCTCTTCACCCATATAACGTTAAAAAATTCAATGGAAAAACTAGAACACCCTGTATATATGTACGTCGGTAATTCGAAGCAACTAGGCATCCGTACTCTCTGGACTCTGGTTTATCCGGGCCAATCGTGATCGAAGTAAGCTAGTTAAAGTCGGGACTTGGCTACGAATAAATGAATGGAGGCTTGATTCACCAAGGAAACAATTTATAGAACGATTGCGATATTTTTACCCGCGAATACGCTCGCCCACGTGTTCCTTTGCTTTTCGTTCGATCAATTGTCCACGGTTTATGTTCATTCTCCACCGCTTAAATGAATTCTCGATGCTCGATAGGATCTAGTATACGCGTTTCAATCCTGATCAAGTGGAACAGATTGTGGTGCCATTCGAATTACTATAGTTAATGGAAGAGAAGAAAAATGGAGCTTGGTACGTAATAGAATGAAATAAAATAGTGAATACGTGAATTGTGTTCGAAACGAAAACATAATTAATTACAATCTACGCAATAATGACTTATGATACTTTCGTAACGGAATATTTTTCTTTCGTTGAAATGTAAAATATCATAATTTTGATATATCAATTTTGACATATTACGCGTGATTAAATAACAACTAATTATTTTTTTCAATTTACTTTCTTTTTTCAAGTATTCCGTTTTAATTTATTTATATTATGTCATTTTTTTTAAAGAATCTGTCAATGATGTAATAACGTAAAACATGATGATGTAAAATATCGATATAAAAATACAATTTGAAATATATAAATTGTATCATCAAAAAGTAATCAAAAATCGTATAAATGATCCAAATTATTTACTGCGCATGTTTTTATCAATTGACGAGGAATAATTTTGATTAAATGATATTCGTTAAATTATAATTTGATCTATGCAAAAAATTAAATGTTAAAATCTTTTGATTATTATAATTATTTTAAATTTCCAATATTTTATCCTAATTATATTCATAATTTGATAAAAATATCATTATCTCTTCGAGTGTGATCCTTTTTTTTAATCGAACTTTAAAATACTTTGTATAAATTATTTTGTGTAGAATAGAATATATACAAAATGACGTATAAAATGAAACGAATGGAACAGAAATCCAGTTGAACATCCTAACGAAATCCGAACGAAACAAATAAATGAACGTTAAAACGATTTCGAATTCAAATAAATCTGATGGATTATAAATTTCAAATTCAAGTTTGATAGAAAGAAAATTATACAGTGGAATCTTCCTACTCGTCACGAAGAAATTACATCACGCGTAGGAACGCAACTATGAAATAAATCGTTAATCGAGAAGAAAAACCGCACATGTCCGCCATATTTCTTATCATCGAATTAGATTGGCGGTAATGCATACGAAATATAATAATGGAATGCATAGAAATATAAGTGAATTTATTTGCTAATTTTTCTCGTAACAATAAACAAAAGGCATTTGTATTCAAATTAAAGAATATCATTAGATGTGATACAATTTTATTGAAATATTCAGTGAAAATTGCAAAATAAAGAAAACACAATTCCAATATATATTTATAGAACATGTATTTATGTATGTGTCGTACGAGCATTGCATTAAAAAATATATGCGAAATACGATTTCTAAAAACTGGTACATAAAGTGAAATATACACCGAGCAATAATATATTTGGATAAAATTTATCAAAATTATCAAATCTATATAAAGTTAAATCTATATAAATCTATATAAAGTTTTGTAACAACTTGTCATTTGCATTCGATAACATTACAAAACTAAATGTTTTTAAAATCATTTATTTTTCAAATCAGTTATTTTTTTATTAATTTGATCTCTGGACTGCAAATAGCAGAAATAAATATTATTTATTATTTTATGATAAAAAAACTTAATAATACAAGTAAGAAAAAATTAATTTTACTTTTTATTTTTAAAATTATTAAAAGATGATACATAAAGATAAATTTATTATATTTCTAAAAAAATTCGCCTATTTTAAATTAATTAAATAATTAATTCGAATTAATTAAAAATTACGTATTAAACTCATATGTCACAATTATATCATTAATATTCAACGTATTTAATCAAATGTGTATTGGATTGTTTTTATTTTTAAACCCTGATTGATAATTTTATTTTTCTGAATACTTTGAATAGTCACGGAGCATATATCTTATGTATATTTGTCTTGAAAAACAAGTATATATTACGAAGAAAAAATTTATTTAAGTTAAAGTGTATCATAAGTAATTGACATAAAAAATTTTAAATAAATACTATTTAAATAATATACGATTTGTAAAATATTCAATATTAATGTAAAAAAAAATAATTTACCAATACAAATTATTAAAGAGAGAAAAAAAAGATCAATTCACATATTTGTATCAAAAATAAAAATAAAAGCTTGTTATTCACAATGCTTGTTATTTCACAACAAAATATGAAAAATAAAAAGTTATTTTTATTATTATTAAACTCGAATCTACTTCAATTATACAACTAGTAAAAAACAAAAATCATCCATCGAACAGACGATATATTAGATAACGTATCTTCATCCATAAATCTATTCATTAAAAGAAAGCGTAAAGTTCAACAGCGATAAAAGTGAAACGCAAATTTCTAAGTGAGTGAGAATCGCTGAAAACGGAAAAACATGAAAACACGATGGTACGAGGTTCGATTTGAAACAATCAGGTCGTCACAAGTTCGAACGAACTATAGCAGCTGCAAAAAACAGACAATCGATCAATCACACGCGAAACCGAGTATACGCACACACATCTGCGATAGGAGTTTATATGTTCGTATATCGAGCTTCAAAAGTCGAACACAAAAGGCAACAGATACTAAGTTTGTCAAACGAAGGATATTTACAACGACAACAATGAGGACGATTCCTAATTTGTGTACAAAGTAAAGTTCGAATTTGTTTTCGTACAAACTTGACGTCTAATCAATAGCGTATTATATATGTTATTACATATATACATTATATTTAGTAAAAATTATATTAGAAGAAATACAAAATTTTATAATATTTATTTATAAAATATTCAAGTTTTTTATTTTTCATAAAAAAAAATCAAGATTAAAAATTTTGAATATTTTGCTCAATTTTCGCAAAAACTAATTTGAAAAACAAAATTAAATGTTGAATAGACAGAGAAAGAAGATAAACGAAAATAATTTAAAGGAGAAAATTCATTGGAAGCAAATAATCGTCGAAGAAAGCAATGCGATCGAAAATAATATATCGTTTATTTCGTTGCGCGCCAAAATAAATACTTTTACCATAACAATCTGTACTATCATGCCTATCCAATCAAATTGAGTTTTCATATAATTTATTTGCACAATTCCGTAATGCCCGGCCGTGATTTGCTACACATCCTAACCACACAAATCCTCTGTACACCATTTCTATCCGTTCCATTCCATATTTGTCCGGCAGTGCAATAGACCGTAGCAGTCGGAACAGAATACGTAGTACCAACACCGTTGCACAAATGTTTGCGCCACGGTACCACCGAGTACCAGTGAATATTACAACGGCCACGAGAGAATAATTCAACGTGAGCGGAATTACACTATACATAGAGAATTTGTCGGTATTCGCGGTGCCACGTGCTAAGAAGCCATCTTTATATCTAGAATCTGCCGCTTATCATTTCTCGATTCTTCGAAACGATAGAAAACATACGATAGTGTAATCTTAATAGAAATTGTAGAATAATGTGAAATATCGATGAAATAAACACGTTAAACATAACCTAATTCGCTATCAAGTTTTAACTATCAAAATTATCGAAAGAATTTTTTGTAATATGCATAATAAATACAATGTAAACCTCTGCTAAATATGATATATTCTCGTATCGTATTGCTTTGCTCTATGCTTTGACAACATTGAACGTTCGAAAAAAGGAAAGATAACGAAGACATGGAAAAGACGGAACACGAAACGATCGTGTGACAAATGAAAAAAAATCTTACCTTAAATATGTGCTCGCTGCTACAGTCGAACATAGGGGTGCTCATGACGGCAGTCGACATGTTCTCTCGATTTCGCACAAAAACACACTGGAGCTAGTTTTAACGTAGTTGCGATCCGGCTGTGGCTAAGCCTTGTTTTTCTTCTTTTCTTTCTTCTTCAGAGCAGAACAGCGTACGTGATAATCGTGAAAAAACCGCGGTAATACGTATACCAACTTCGATAACACAAAAACTGCCACTCCGACGATACGCTCTTGTAGATTTACATTGGAAGCACACCCGTTTCGATTCTCTCAAGCGTACGAGGAGATTAACAAGGACGCGAATCAGATTCGCGAAATCAACCAATTTAAACGATCGAATAAACGAAATATATCTCCTCTCGCGTCGAGCAAGCACGCCGCTCTCTTGCCTTCGAGCCTCTTCGATGCTCAGCTTGTCACGTGTAGAGATCACCGTGAAAACGAAAGACGATTACGTATATGTGTATATGTATATACCGATGACAGAGAGAGTACGTGCGAGAGAAACTTGGCACTTTTTCGGATCGAAGAATCTTTGCCGCGGATCCCGTGGAGGGGGAAACTTGAAAGCTCCCGTCGACTCTTTCTTTTCCTTCTCAAAGAGATGTAGCTCGCAGGGCCTCCGAATGCGAACTGAGGATCCGTGTGACCGCGCGACAGTCCGTGAGACTCGAAAGGCGGCACCGCAAGTTCCGCCAATCAGATTGCGCGTCACTACCAACTCATCCCCACTGCGTGTGGAGATTTGGCAACTGCGCCAACTTCTCAAGCCAATCGTACAAAACATCTCTCCCTCGTTCTGCCAGTACCAGCAACCCCTTGGTCCATACATTTTCGAATCGCTTTCATCCCTTTTCACCCTCTTCTTTCTTATTGGTGGAAATTTGGGGTAGTTTCGAAATAGCCAATAACCGAATGCCTATCAGTCAATAATTATTTTTAAAATGATCTCTATTCAAAATATTTATCAAGTATTGCTTTTCCAAAATGTTTCAATCAAACCAACGTCTAAAAAATACGAACAATTACATATACTATATAAATATGTATCTGATATGATATCTTTATAACAATAATGATAGGTTGGAAATAATCTTTGAAAATATGTATTTTAAATTATTTTATTTTCAAATGATTTTTCATTAATTACTTTATCACGCAGGTATAAGATTTATTGTTTAAAAAACATATTATTATGCTGTTATCACATGTACTTATCTCGTAATTAAGAATATTAAAGATATTGGCGCCTAATTTATAATACACACATTTCAAAATTGAAAATGAATGAAAAATACATAATTATTTAATTAAATTATACATTGTATAATAAAAATTATAATAATAGAATATTTTATTTCTTAATAAAAGTAACAAATTAAACTAAAATAAAAATATTTCTTGTAAAATTATTTATTTCTTTATAATCATAATATAAAATGTAAATCTAATTTTCTATGAATAATGTTTACAATTTAAATTCATTTTTCACACGTATTAAATGAATTTTTCTTTAATTCATATTAATACAATTTAACAATTGAAATTGTTTGAATTCGATAAAAAAAATTTTATCGTAAAATTGTATCGTTGTATTAAAGTATGAAAATTTAGGTTAGATTATAATTTATGCAAGATACTTTGATAAAATTTTTCAGTATGCATTAAATATAGCGAAAAGATAATCGAACATTACGTGGACGTTCTAAAAAGACGATGTAACTACTTTACTTGCGGTATTCAATGCAGTGTGATCGGATAGCTCGAATGTAGTCGCGCGATAGAATACTGAGAAGAGTCGCATGAATGAAATTGAGCTTCTATTCATGCACGATGTAAGTCGTAGATTGTAAATAACCACTGTCCACGTATTGTTAGCATTCGATAATATACCGATCTTGATGTGTCGTAACAATGCTATATGGCGATTCATGCTAATAAAAAATTCGTAAAATTCAGACAAATAGCTCGTGCAAACAATTTTTTTTATAGAGATAATGTATATATTTGTATTATAAATTTTTAAAAGATAATCTCATTAAAAAAAAAATAAAATATTATATCAATTATAATTAAAAAATAAAAGATGAATTCATCTTTATTAATTATAAACATTATAAATTAGAATAACAATGTTTTTTTAAATGTATTTTAATAGATAATTATATCATAACGTTGAATAATATATATAACATTATATAATAATATATATAAAATAGGATTTATCGTCGAATAATGAGAATTTACAAGAAATATTTAAAATAACTTTTTTTCTTTTTAATAATAGATTTCTAGAAACAAAAAATATCAAATTAAAACATAATGATTCCATCATTTCAATTTTTTTTTTCAATGTCGTCAATTTTTTAAAATTCTGAAAAGATTTGAGATTACTTATTTATTGCTATTTATTATCATATGTTGACTTTGTTTCTTCTATTTACTTCTTTTATTTACTGTTCATATCATTGCGTTATCTACATAAAATACTAGTTCTAATAAAAATTTTATTATCAGCTAAAGATGAAATGTTAATTACTTATTGCATGATGAACAAACAACTTTGAAAAGTAAGAATAAAAACAAAAATGATAATATATTAATCTTATAAAGATTTTTATTTAAATAGATTTTATTTAATATTCTAGTAACAAAAAAAGAAAAAAAATGCTACGAAATATTTTCAAACTAAGAAAAGTTAATAATAACATATACATTTTTTATTCATTTCATGAATCAAAAAAAGAGAATACCATACCTATAAAATTAATCTCGTATATTCCTTTCATTCCCAAGCGTATAACGATATGATTTACAATCGAAATAGAGATTTTAATTCGTTCATAGGACATGTATGTATTTGTTAGTATATCTCACAAAGAGCCCGCATGTCCAGACTGATATCTATATGTTAGTTAGACCACCATAACGAAAACTGACTTCCATTAGTTGTTATATATATAGCTTCATGAGAATCTGTTTGGGGTTGAAAACATTAACCCTCCTTCTCCCTATTACAATTCTATCGCGAAGAGACCCTCATCGGCCCGTATGTCACGAGGAAAACTGTGACACCCTCTAATTAAACAAGGCCTGACTTCCAGACTACTCTCAAACTATGATTATTATATGACGATTATGATCGGATGAAAAGATACGGGGATTTTTATTACAGTGATAAATGATGAAAGCAATCGTATCAATTCGATTTTTAGTGAATTAACCCAAATGTTATGATTTTGTTTTATAAAATGATATGGATTAGATATATATAATTATCAATATATATAAATATCAGATTTGATATTTGATATCGTATCATATTTATTTAAGAACGTTTTGAATAGTTTGAAACCAATATATAATATTATATATCGAAACGAGTAATATATCAATTCTAATTTTTATTTTAATTTCAATTTATTAATATAATTTTTTTTTTTTAATTTATCAAATATATATTTTTTGAAAAAATATAAATTTCGAGAAATTTATTTATAAGAAGAAAAATAAAATAGTTTTTAAATAGTTTTTCATTTAAAAGATTTATAAAAATAAATCCTTAAATCCTTATTTAAATCTTTTTGTGGTATTTGATATTGAATCTTTTTAAAATTAGCTTGCTTATTCCTTGAACGACTTCACTTCCGGCTTTTTTTTTATAAAAATGTCACTTCCTCCTACGATTGATACGTTGGCGTTATAGTTGCGAATAATTTTGCAAAAATTGGTTCCCGTTTACTTTGTTCCTGAATAATTTTCCTGAATGTCAACCCAGAGATACGATAATCTATTATTATAAGCATTGTTGTTTTATATAAATATTTATAACATAAGTTATTTATAACAAATAATTATTTAAAATAAAAATCAATAATATCGTATCCTATTGTACTAATTTTATTTTAATTTTAAAATAATTTTCTCTTTTGCCAAAACGATTTTCTATCTCTGTATCTTAATATTATATAATTTTACGATTGAAAAATTAGAAACATTATTAATTATATATATATATATATATATATATATATTATAATTATATATATATTCAGTAATTTGTGACACGAATAAAACTAATGAGATATGAATAACAATATTATAT